CTTTTGCTCTGCCTTTGAACGTTTGTCTTCTTTAGTAACACTTAGATCAAAGTTGCTCTTACTCTCCCCTTTGGGGAAGAGAGAGGCAGAGCAGAGGCCTGATCCAGCAGCACGCACCTGCGTGCTCTGCAGCAGGACATGAACCATGGTCCTATATCCAGCCCCGGTTCTCCATGAGAAAGCACAGCCTTGGGCCAGGGTGGGGGATCTCCTGTGCCAACAGCACACTTGGGCAAGACTCAAGGCTACTGCAGAAGCCCTTATATTGCCCTTCCAGTACTACTGAGCATCACGTTACCAGGCAGAGAGAATTTTGGTGATGAAACACTCCTGTTTCCACAAGTATTTCTAATTTAAGACCAAAACAATTAGCGCTCACCCAACTGGTTTTCTTCTTTATCACCGTAAACAGTAGCTGCATCCTAAACGCAGCCTGGGCTAAGTTCCACAGTAGAGTCTTCAAACTCCAGCTGCAAAGAGGACAAGCAAGAGGGAATCATGAAGACTGAAACACCCTTCTTAACCATGGACTGGAGAAGAGCTAGATTTCAGAGGAATTTGAGCATGGTGTCCCGAGGCGAGTGTGTCACATTTTGCATTAAAACAGCCTGTTGGCAATCTTGGCCCGACTGCTCCCTCCTCTGCAGGGCTACAGACAGGTCTGCAGAGGATGAGGCTGACCTAAGCTTTGCATCAAGGCATTTCAACTTTCAACCATCATCTTTACTGCAACACACAACGTTTTGTGCTGCTGAAGGGCCAGTGTCCCATACGGAGTGCCCTTCCAAGAGCTTTTCCTTCAAGCATGGAGAGCAGGTGATTTTTCCTTTATTTGTTTTGTTTTTAATCCAGACTGCAACTCTCCCACCAACAGAGCAGCAGCAACCCACGCGATAGGTCTGCATATCCTCAAGCATCCCGAGGTTTAACATCGGTTTTCCGCCCCTTAGCCAAGGCAGCAGGGGAGGAGAGATGTTGCTGCTTTGAGCAATGTAAGATGGCAGCGTGACTCATCACGGGCTGGGATGAGCTTGGTGGGATGCTTGCTGCACACGAGCGGCAATGGGCGATAAAAATAGAGAGAGATGCTGGTACTATGGGTGGGAACTATTGTCACACAACCCATGCACAACGAGAAAAACAAAAACATTGGTATGGAACTAAAGAGTAGCTGTGGGGTTTTGACACTGCCTTGAGGAAAAGGCTGACTATATTTTTTTTGCAACGTGATCTCTACCTTCCCTTTACCCCTGCAAGTCTGTGCTGGACTTCAAGATAAAGCTGTCTCGAGATGAGATTGGTGCCTACAGACTTCGAGCACTTACAACAGTCACAGCCCCTCCATACACGAGTTCGAAGGTGATGTCTAATTGACAAAATATGCCCTGCAAAGAATCAGTGACCTGGAAACCTTACAATTTACAGCCTTGCGTGTCACAGATGTTTCTGGCAGGATTTTATTGAATCGCTCTCCTGAACAGTTCTTAGTGCAGAGGTTTAAGTGCAGTTTCTCCTTTTATTACCTTTACAACATACTCTGCTGGAGCCTCAATGAGCCAGTGGCACTCTGTGTTCCTGGGATACAAGCCAGGGTAATTAGCAGCATCAATCTTCCCCTCTTCCACTAACATTGTGACGCTCCCGCAGCCCAAACCTGCAATACACAGACGAGAAAGGAGAGAATTTAACAGATGGGATTATACGGTGCTTTTAATAGACCCAAATCAACAACTAGATTTTTTTTTTTAAGGAACTCAGGCTCACTAAGGATGGTTGTTATTTTAAGGGGGTCAGGAAGAAGGGGAAAGGAGTTTCTACAGCATAGGTGAGGTCACCTGTTTCAGGGGCCTTATGAACAGCCACAAAAGTGAGCTGGAAGCCACGGCCAGCGTTGCTCCCATCAGAAACAAACGTAATGGTGGTCTTGTCCGACTCTGCCAGCAGAGGGGCTGGGAATCCATTCCTGCAGGATTTACCTGAGGGAGACAAGGAGTGGGTTGAACACACATTTATTCAGGCAAATCTCACTGTGGTTCATTAGGCTGGATCCCATCAGGAAGGTCTCTTCTTACATGGAGTGGAGAGACTATTTGGCTTTCATTACCTATAAAATATTTAGAGGCAGTAAAGAAAAATTGAGGAGATGGGACTTCATCTAAAACAATCATATGAACAACCAAATATTCCTAGCGGGTGAATTGCATGGACTAAGGATTAGCATTATTATCAACACATCACCATTAGTACTAAGTTAGAATGGAGAGGCAGCCAGCATTTGCAGGAAATATTTATCCTCTTTCGTTTCAGTATTAAGCGCACCTTACAGAGTGACAACAGGCCATGCTTCTTTTAGTCTCATCTGTACAGTTCCCCAGTAGTCTGCACGCTAGCTATACCATATAACCAATTCTGCACCAAGGAAGAGCCAGCCTTTGAGCTGCGTCCCCAATGCACGTGACACTTGCTGGCTTTGCTAACACATCGGAAACTCATCTGGACACGCACCAGCTAAGCAAGGCTAAGCACTCGTTTTATTCTGATACCCAGGGTCTGTAAGAGCAAAATAGGTATATTGGAGACAAGGCAGAGAGGGCACAGAATTATGCACAGCTGAAAGACATTTTTGAGATGCCCACCACACCGCACTAGATGCCAACACAAACATGAACACGTCCCTCAGCCCCACCTGCCCTGCTCCGTTTGGGCGGTGTCTCTAGCTCTTTGGATTCATAGTGCAAAATACGAACGGCTCCTCAAAAGCCAGCTAGAGTTGCTGTTCTTCATGACAATGAAATGACACCCAGTAACCCTTACTCCAAGGCGCCCAGACTTACTGATCAGCTCTCTTCCATTCGAATAGAGGGACACGTAGCCACAGTCACATCCAACTTGGTACTCTACGTCTAATTTGGTGAAGCGTATCAAGATGATTTTGTCCTCTGGCACTGTTATATGCCAGGTGCACAGGCTAGAAGCAAGCAATAGTAAAGGCCTGTATCTGCATGGCTGAGCTTAGCCCTTGCCAGTCCCACCGCTGGCTGGGAGTCTCCAGCAACTGCTTTCCTGCAAGCGCCCACCAGAAGCTGACAAACTGATGTCACCAGCGCCACTTGGTAAATGTCATCCTCTTCCCCTTTGGCATAAACCATCTGGGAAGAGAGTTACTGATAGCAGAGGACTGCTGTGAATTTGCTCAGCACGAGGCGGAGACCGACGCTTCCTTACCCCAGCAATAGCTTTGTGCTGTGCGACTCACACGCCACCAGCCCAGCCCACCCCACCTCGTTCCCCTGCCTCCTGCAAGGAGATGAAAGCTTCTTTGTGCGAGCTGACACCTACATGGCCAGACCAAAGGGCGAAGGACACAACAGATCTCTAGCCAGCCGCAGCCATTTTGTGAGCGTGGCTCATACAGAATCTGTGCTACAAATAGACTTTGTGTTTTTCCTGCCTTCCCCCGCAGTGTTATCCTGCCAGCAAGCATAGCTGGGGATGTGCATTGCAGGGAACATGCAGCTGCTGTCATCTGGATGCTGCCAAGAGCAGTGCCTGGGCCAGCGGTGGCTGGGGCTTCCGAGCCCTGGGAAATGCTTCAGTGGGTGCCCCAAGGAAAACTCAGTGTTTAGCTACTACAGCCAAACTACAGTTACCTGTGGTCAGGGTAATTATCCTCCAAAGCCTGGGGGTGCCACACATGACTGCGTTCTGCAAAGAGCAGGGCGCCCCAGGAGCTGCACTCCTCTGGCTTGGGGAGAGGGCTTGGCACAGCAGCTCGGGAGAGAGAGGGGTTGTGTGGGGTATTGTGGTACAGGCACTATCTGTCAAGGCACAAGCCATGGCACTGCAGTTGTTTCAAACACAAAGTGCTTGACATGCAGCTGAGGGAAACCTCAGATGAGAGCACACAATTCCTTTCCTAAAGTCCCACTTAAAAATCCCCAAACTTTGAGGACTTGTCCCAGCGACACAGTGGGCTCGCATTTATTCAGCCTGCTAGGAGCTGACGTGGCTACTCCAAGATCATTTTTAATGAAGCACTGCTTTTATGTTGGCCTTCCCTTCATCTTCTGTGGGCATTTGGTCTGCGTGGATCCCAAAAGCTCTGCTTTGCAAAGGGTAATGCACCCACTTTGTAGCCACGTGGCTTCTGCTCCTCGCAGTTACTGCTCCCAATTAAGAGGCACCTTCTTAGCTGCAGACAGTCCCCCTTTGAAAGCATAATCATTAAGGATTCCTGGCAAAGCCATAATAGGTTGGGTATCCGTTAATACCAACACCTCGACTTTGATGGCTGTGACAGAAATAACACCATCTCTTTAGTAACTTGTATTAGCCCTGTACTCGTCTGTACAGAGAAATACAAGTGGCCAGCGGGGAGTCGCTAGGCCTGTGCCTAGCTATAAAAGACGCTTCTGATAAGCCACTAAAACTGCGGCACTTAATACAGTGCCCCTCTTCCCATACGCATTCCAAGTTGTATTTGATGAGGAGATAAGCCCCGACCAGTCCTGCATGCCGCTTCAGGAGCGCAACCGCAGTTCAGATCTCAAGCTGGCAAGCGCTCAAAGCAGGTTTTTATTAGAGCAGGGCTGGTAGGCAGCGCTCAGGGGACACCTTGCCGAGCTGGAAGGGCTGCGTTCAGCCGGAAAGAAGGCAGCTTGAGTAGCCTTCTGCTTTTCCTTCAGAGGATGCAGGGGTCAGACCTGCTATTATAGCAGGGTTTCTGAAGGGGGACTTAGCTGTTTGAAGCTTTGGTTTTGCCATCCCAAATTAAAAGATGATATACTTTGCTGCTGATGCAGCAGCTGGAAATTAAACAGAACTGCTGTGGGTGGAGGGGAGGGAGGCAGCAATAGCAGGGCAATTTGGATCCCTACAGCGCTGAACAGACAGGAGAGGAAAAACCCTCTAGTACTCGTACCTACCTGGTGCCACGTGCTGGGCAATGAAGTCCACAAATGCAGCCACCCAGGAGAAGATGCCTGGAGATCCACCCCAGGCCGTGGTGCTTCCCTTGAGGGTATCCCATCCTCTGGCACAACCGACCCCCCTGGACACCACACCGGCCAGAGTCCTGGTGCTGCCCATCCTCAGACATGCAAGGGGGCCCCCAGAGTCACCCTGTCCGCAGCACGTCAGGGAGGAAAGGTGCCGTTTGCTCGGGCGCCAGCAGCGCCGGCCTTTGGCGGTGTTGCAGAACAGACCACCCTCACCGCAGCAGCCACCACAGCCTCGCTTGCCTCTCCCTGGTCATGGGGGCCTGGCACCATCCCTGCTCATTCAGCTGTGCTTGTTGAATCTCCAACACACCAATCTGCGCTCTGTTGTTTCACTCCCCTGGTCTGACTTGCAGCTTGGCACCCTGCCCTTCCCCATACACAACCCCCTTTTTTTTTCCCATGAAAAAATGTGAAAATGAAAGCCATTTCACCAACATCAGCCACAGCACTGCTTTGGAAGTGTTCACACAAGGTATGACAGAGGGCAGGAAGCTTCCCAAGCTACTGCTTGGTTAAAAAAAATAGTTGTGCAAATACACCCTAAAAGGGGACTAGCAACAGCCTGGTCAGCAGCCTAGGCACGCCTAGCCCCGCTCACACCATTCCGACCAGCACAGGAGGGCTTGGTGCTGAGCAAACTCCTCTGTTGCAGCCCATTGCCCAGTGTCATTGCTATCACTGCCTGAGTTAAGGTATTAGAAGGCTTGAGCTTATCTAAGGGGACATTGAGGGAGAGGTGGGAACTGCCTGCTTTCCAGCCCGTGCCAGGCTCCCTTGCCCATTGCCTGAAGTGCCACCACTGAAAGTCCCCCCTGGTTTCAGCAGAGGTGGTGGCACTTGCATGCAGAGACAGAGGTCCTGCTGTTAGCAATGCCCAGGGCGGGTCTAGGCAAGAGGGCAGTCATGCTTTAGTCTCCTGCCCACATCCATACTCCTACCCACAAGAGATGGCTCCTGCCTTCGTTATCCTGAAGCTCCTTGTAAAGCCCCTGCTCAAAGTGACAACAGCACTGTCAGTGCTGCTGCCTCCCTTTATCCCCAGGGGAGGAGAAGGTTTGCAGGTGGACAGGACAAGCCTGCTGCCCAAGCTCTTACCTTGCATGCATCCCTTCCACCCTCAGGAAAGCCAAGACACAGCATGGAGCCCCACTCCAGCAGCTGGTTCATGCCCCTCAGCAGTGTGCTGCGGGTCTGGCCGTTGGCAAGGGGCAGCTCCATCTCCTGCAGGATGAGAACCCGTGCCCCAGCCACTGATGGAGCAGCCAGGCCACATCCAGCATCTGCAATGCAGCTCACCCCTCCAACTGAATGATAGCCAACAGCCCTGTGTGCTGGGAGCCACATCCACCCCTTCCCCAACACCCTGGCACGAGCAGCTGGGGCGTCCCACACCATTTGCTTGCCTTGGTTTTGAGGTGGTTTGGGATCACCAAGCCCAGGCACCCAGCCAGGCAGGTAGTGCACTGGTTTGCCCTCAGCCAGTGCAGAAAGTGGCTCAGAACAGGATTGGAGCAGGTCATTCCTCTGCTGGTTGGACAACAGACATTGCTTTCTTCTCCCAAGCAACCCACTACAGGGCTGGAGACTTTCAGGGGCCAGAATGAAGCCCCCAGAAAGCTGCTAGTGTGAGAGACCAGCCCTGGCTGGGAGATGGCATGCTGTCTCCTGAGAGGGCTGCTGGGGAGTGGGAGACAGGCAAGTCTGCTCTACTCTGGATGAGCCCCAAACCACTGGGGATGTAAAAATAAAAAACAACATTCACAGACATTCCCATCTCCTTTAAAATCTACCAAAACTCAAGCAAGTGCAATTCCTTTGAGGGAACAGTTTTCTGGTGTCTAGAGGACAGACTATAAAAGAGTATGGATTTTTAAGTACAAGGGAACTATTCCCACTTCTGTAACACCTTGTAAGGACAGCTCTGCTTGCGAGATGCTCTGATACACACACATGAATATGCACAGCAGCACTGCAAAGTGCAACTTTCCCTAATGCACTCCAAGGTCCCATGCTGCAGGAAAATGCTGATCTGCACATCCCTACCGGTGCTGGTCCTCTGACAAGCAGAGGAGACCTGATGAGCAAAGAGGTACTTGAATTTTCCATCTGGCAGGAGTCACCTTCTCTTGCATTTCTATTTCTGAAAGAAAGCGGCACGTTTCCCTTATCCGTTACCCGTTATTCCTGCAACTGTGACCAGAAGACCCTGCCATTTGAGTTACTCTCAGACATCTTGCCCCAGCAGCTACGTGGGGGTCCAGCATCCCAGCCTGGAAGTCTTCATCCCTGTGGGGAAGGTGGATGGGCTGGACCTCATCCCCTGCAGAGAAAAGGGTGCACAAATGAGCACATGAACCCGATGCTTCCAGGAGCATGTCTGATTTACAGGTACAAACAGCATCCTTCAGGTCGAACTGTTCCATTTATCCCCTTCCCAAAACACCAGTGTCACATGTGGGTATCTATAAAATGGGAATACGAACTGAAGTTAGTCACATGTAATTGAATTTATACATGAGGCAAATCAAGAGCGAGAGAGATCAGGAAGATTGTCAGCTATCTTTGACTGTTAACTTATAAGAAGGATACTTGGGAAGGGGACAAAAGAAGAGGGGGAACAGCATGGCAGGGACCAGGAAAGGAAAGCAAGTTGCCTATGTATCAATCTTATGCAGCATGAGAACTGGACAGTTCTTGGGAAACTTTTTACACAGTTTTTCCCAAAGGCAAGTGCTGATCTGATCAGAGGAGTTATGCAGGGCATGAAAAACTCAGCTCAGTTCAATCCAGACTCTTACTGGTTAGTTTTTTCTTGATATTGGGGAAAAACAAAACAAACAAACAAACAAAAAAAAAAGGATCACAGCTCTCCTTGGCTGCCTGACAGGGCATTGGCAGTGCCCAGCCTTCAGAAGCGCTACACAGGGAGCCCTGTAGTTTCCTCAAGGGTTGTCCATACGGCTCAGATGCTGTCAAGCCCAGTTCATGCCTAGAGACATATCTGTTTAGCCACAGAGTACAGGCACACATGCAGCCCCCAAGGCACCTTCCTCATGCTACCTGCCACGATGTCTGAGCCCCAACATGAACATTTCTTGGGTCTTATTTCCCTTATTCCTGCCATTATGGGCAAACTGTAAGGCTATCACCATATGAGGCAGTGATTTGAGACATAACAGTGACAGAAGGTTATTTTATGTTGGCTGATCTGCTGTCTGATGGTCACAGGCAGTCATGGCCAGTTGGCTGTAACCTATCGTAGCTCTATATAACTCAGGGAATTGCCTTTGAATTGCCTAGGAAGTTAGAGACTTGTGCCACTTCCCTAACTCCAACACCCTAAAATTGCCTCCAGAGGTTTTGCCTCTGCCTGCAGAAATACTTGGAGCAAGCAGGTTTTAATCCAGCCTGCTTCTCAGTGGGCAGGGCCCTTGCAGCCCACATAGCCCAGGGGCTATGGCCAAGAGCCCAGCAGCTAGCCCAGAGCTAGCATGAGTGCAACGGGGCTGAAGGAAACCGTGCTGGTGCAGTTTGTATGAGGGAACACACAAAGGCACACAGAAATCTGGAGCATGAAGAATACATGGGCATATCCAGAGCACAGACCTTGACCAAGGGATAAACTTCTGGGACAATTAATCAAAGCCTAGGACAAGACTTAACCCAATTGTGTTTTGATAAGAATTAAAGGCATAATTGACGGGACATTTCTCTAGCATAGAGAGCACAGTAAGGGAATGAAGAGGGGTGTTTTTTCTGGACCAGCACATCAGATGAGGACTTTGCCCATGTAAAGCACCCTCTCACAGCAGCGGCTCGTCCCCCTTGAGGTCCCACTCACTGTACTGGGCTGGGTGCTGCAGGTGCAGCAGGGCCATGTCGCAATCCATGTAATGCATCCGGTTGAACATGGGGTGGATGATGACACATGAGACAGGGATGCTCTGCTCCTGCCTGTCTGCCCGCTGGAGGTGATGTTCCCCCACTGTGACCACCCGGCTCCTTCAGGAATTTCCTGGTGGGGAAAAAAAACCAACCAAACAAAAAATAACCAGTGCCAGGGTGATGAAGGAAGGGGCTGCCAGCACAGAGCAAACCCTGACACTGAGACTGCAACCCCACAGTGTGATCCTGCCCTGGGAGCCGGGGCTGGCCTTCGGTAATGGGACTTTCAGCCAGGCTGATTTCGCATTAGCAGCAAAGCTGAGGATTCCCTGACCGCCATCTGGAAAAGCTGGACTTGCTTTTAAATGGATAAATAGGTTTCTTGTTTTATTTGCTATCCATCAAGCCACTGTTCATACTTGGGCAGCACAGAGCTGCCAGGAGGCCAGGGGGAGGTGCCAGCAGATTTCACTGCAGCCAGCTCAGTACAGGGAAAAGGAGAGTTTATCTTTTGCCTTGGGACTCAGAGAACCCCTGTGCCATTTTTGGCCCTGAAACATCAGGCTCAGCCCTTGTTACCTGCAGTCTGGGATAAGGCACATGATAAGCCTTAAAAGCAATGGGAACTGATTGCCAAATAATTTTGGCCCCATAAATCCTCCTTTCTAATTTTGTTATCAGTGCATTTAGGAGATGAGCAGAAACCTACATCTGAGAGCTTTATGATGATTTTAGGCAGCTACAAGTAGATTAAGTTAACACTAGACAAATGTATGCCCATTATGGTTTTTCTGCTTATTTTTTAAGCAATATGCCACAGTTAAACTTAGAGCAATCAGCTCCAGCAGAGTCAAAACACTGTTCAGCATTTCTCTCAGCAATTAGGTAGATAGCTACGCTATCGGAGCAGAGTTACTCAATAAACAGATGGGCAGCAGATCCCATCTTTAGCAAACCAGACCTTTAGCAAAGGAGTTTTACTCTCCTCTAGGGACCCAGCAAGTGCTCTGGTGCTCAGGGTGGGAAGGTTTTGCAGTCAGTGGGAGACATGAACTGGGTTCACTGATCCTCCTGATGCCAGGCACCACAAGAGATGCCCACAGGAGCCACACAACTTGTCTGTGTTTCCCATTACCAGCTCTCACAGCACAGGGCGCAACATAGCAGTGAGCTCGTCTCGAGATCTTTGCAGTTCAGGCTGATTAAAGGTCTGCCTGAACTATTACTGAAAGGGGACAAAATCCAGACCTGAAGCAACTGTCTTTTCTCTACAGACTATGTTCACTTGAGAGTCCAAGAAACGCCAGCACTCAGACAAGAGCTTTGGAGCCTATTTAACACTTATTTCTAGTAGCTCTATGGATTTATTTTTTTTTTAAACCCCTGTCCTGAGTCTCTTCTCTAACCTCCATGGGATTCCACCACTTCATGGAAGTCTGACTGCTGTGAATTACTACCACGCTATTTCACCCATGCAGCCTTTGGAGGTGGCAAGCCCAGGCAGCCTGGCTTGGGCAGGCTGGCAGGCACATGCTTTATTAGGGCTGCCTGCACTGAAGTGTGGCTCCAGGTATTTTGAATCAAGGTATGGGGGGGTTCAACCTGAGCCTTTGCTTCATTGCTTTCTAGTAAATTAAGATTTTTCCCACACACACTTAGGGATATCCTTAGTCTCATTTTCCAATCACTTCCAGCCCTAAGTAACAGACCCACTAATGACACAGCTCAGCTTTAATCCCAGGAGGCTGTTCACTGGAACTGGAAAGTTCCTGTACTTCCCAGCAATGTCTGACACTGGGATTGCCTGGCAATGCAAACGCTGCAGTAATGGGAACATAGGAACAGCATTGGCAGCGTAAGAGTGGAGAGTAAAAGCAGTAGCTAATTTTGCACAGAATAGAGAAACAAGGAGGTGCCTCATTATCAAAGTTAATCTTGCACATTGAAATTATTATACCATAGCAACTTCCTCATTATTCAACATCCAGTCCTCAAAAACGATGCTCAAGTTGAGCAAGAAAAAGATGTGAAGCTGACTGGTCTGCAATTACATTGTAATAGATTATAAAAGGGCTGGCAAAGGGGCCACTTATATCAGTGTCCCTGCCCATTAAGAGGTTTTAGCATGACCTGTGAGGCTGGTCTTGCATTAAAAGTACAGAAGCCATTGTGACTGCTTGGAGTAACAGGACAGTTGCCAGGGCTGCTTTTACCGGGGAGCTGCAGTGCTTCTTCTGCGTCAGAAATGCTCCTCTGGATGCTTTCTTAGGTGAGCAGGGTCTTTTAAAGACAAAACCCTTTAAAATTAGTGATTTAGACATTTAGAAGAACCATGGTAGCATTTCCTGATCTCTGCCCCAGGGCTGCCCACACCTCACAGAGCTCCTGAGTGCTGAACAGAACACATGAATTTGATTTGCAAACTCCCTGAGCAGGGGAGCCCTCTCCCCAGGTTTGGGGGAAAAACATGCAGAGACCCAACGGGAGCAAGCAGGGTGCTGGGGGGTGCACGAGTTGCTCAAGAACCCATGGCTTTGGAGCAACACATCCCACAGGTCTGAATGTGGCAGAGCACTGGCCCCACTCAGCTCCCGGGGGGGCCATTTCCTTCCCTAACTGGGGACACACACCTGGGACCGGGAGCTCCCTGTGTCCAAAGGGGAATTTTTGCCGCAAGAGGTTCAAGAGTGAGTGAGGAGGTGAGGCCGACTTACTGCTCCAGGTTGACCACGTGGTAATAACCACATCTTCTTGGACCAGACTGCCACCACTGAAATGGAAATGGCTCACTTTGAGGGACACCTTCAAAGAAAGGGTCAGGTATGTTTTGAGATGAGGTGACTCCTGTTCCATTCCAAACGTGAAATAAGAAAGATCAGCCCAGCCCAGAAAACATCTTTTTCCTCCCAGTATTAGTGTGTGGGATGCTCAGCTGCCTGGAGCCCAGGGGAGTAATTTCCAAGCTGTGGCTGACCCTTGGCAGCTACCTTCAGCCCCAGTGGGGAATGAGATCCTTGGAGCATCCCCAAACAGAGGGGACCAGACAGACATCTCGCTCCTCTTTCTTACTGCTGCAAGAACTTCCCCAAGGCTTGATGCTAGCCAGGGATCCAGAAGATCCACCTCCCTGACACCAGCACCCTAACCTCTCCCGACACCATCCCCTCCTGTGCCTTCCTGCACTTGATGCTACTACCTGCATACATTTTCAAGCTGCTGCGTGTGCAGGAAGTAGGTTTTGGGGGGGGATGGAGGCAGCAAATGCTATTTTGCTACAGGTGCCAACATATTCCCTGGCAACACGCAAACAAGTAGTACTTTTCCAAGTAGAGCTGTGCCCTGCTCAGTTACTTTTAAGGCATCATCCCACAGTCATTGCTTGGTGCTTTTCCTTATGTGAACGCGAGCCACTAGGCAAGGTAACTTTCCTCTGCAGCAGGGACCAGGGAGGCACCCTCCCTTCCCACTCCCCGCAAGGAAATCCCTGGCTGGCACATGTCACAAAAGCTCTGCAGCTGCCTTAGCTCACACCAGCCAGAGATCTTGTCTTAACCATCAGTTCATTCCCTCTCACTTTGGGAGGGGGGTCAGCCTGGGGAGCTGGGCAAGAGGGACTTTTAGACCAGCCTCCACTCCTGAGCGAGCAGCATTCAATGACTTGAGGATGAAAGATTTTGCTGCTGCCTCTCCTCCCCCTTCCCCAGGAGAAGGGCAGCACACTGCAACACAGACCCGCCACGGCTGCCCTCCAGGCACCAACTCTCTCCCTCCAGCAATCTGAGAGAAGAATCCCAGCAGCAGAGCATCCTTTGGGCTCTTCAGGTCAGTGGCATGAAGTCCACACTCCAGACCTAGACAGAAGACAGAAACAGAGCGTTTTGCAGTGAGACAACTCCCCACATGCTCAAATGCATCACCCCAGGCTCTTGTGCAGGTAGGGAATCAAGGGGACAAATCCCAGGTGTCCCAGCTTTCCTGACTCTGGCCTGAGCTCCAAGCTGAAGGCAATTATATGGAGATAAATGAAAACACACGGAAATTGCATTTCTTGATAAGAAGCTGATGTGTGCAAAGCTGAGGTCTCTTGTGACGTATTTTCATGATGTGTGTGCACAGTCATAAAAAAAGCAAATTTAAATTTCATCCAGTAGCCTAATTATTCATAATGAAGTGCAGCTGGGACTTACAAAATTAAGTAACAAGCGCAACAGGTTATAATGGTGCCACCTGGCTTTATTCAAAGCTTATTATCTCAAAGCTTCCATACCTAAGTGCCCTGGGGCACTTAACTTGAGCAAGTAAAGCCATCATGAAAGATCTCGTCTCTGAACTGAGCTGGCCCTGCACGCAGTCTTGGCTTTGGTCTGGAACACATCACAAGGAAGCAGAGCTTTCTCACACCACTTTTAGCACCGACTGTGCCATAGAAATGTGGACAATGAGCACGGGGGAAGTTTGACTTAGGGATGGCTGGGTCTGATCAAGTTTAGATGCTTCATCGAAGTGTGCAGTTTGAGATAAATTCATGGCACCCCATTTACATTTTCTAGGGAAAACCCCGCTGGTCCTCGCCCAGCAGGGAGTGATGCATGCACTGACAGGCCTGCCAGACCCCTTGCTGGGTGGAGGAGGAAGGGGTGTGCTGCTCCCTGGGTCAGCTCCAGAACACGATCATCACAGCAAAAGTCACACCAGAGGAGCGATCTCAAATACTTGGGACACAAAGAAAAGGAACCAACTGCAACTTCTCATACCGAAGGTCTGCTTCTCTAGGCTGGGTGGTTGTGGGAAAGGGGGTAGCATCAGGCTTCTGGCTCCTTTGCTGAGGACAGCAGCTCTTCCTCTGCTCCCTTCAGCTGGCCCTGTGTCTGTACCAGTTAAAAATCACTCCATTCATTGCTCCCATCCAATGTGTTTCTTATGCCAATAGGAGGGGGCTCCTGCCTCTCCCAAGCCAAGGCTGGGGTAAGAGTTCAGTTCCCAGCCAAGCAGACATAAGCAGTATAATACTCTTGATTTAGGAGGTACTCACACCATGTTTGCCCTGGTGAGAGCCTGGAATAACTCACTGGAGTCACCAGGAGACTGAGTCTGGATCCAAAACATTACCAACTATCACAACAACACCCCTTCAGCCCTCTTTAACTTTGGGTCCTATGTACTCTTCATAGGCTTGAAGGCAATACTACTTGCTTAACCTTCCCACCAGGTTGACAAGCATTAGAAAGCCCACCAGTCTCTCACATCACCTTATCTGAGTGCTAGTGAACTGAGGACCCTGCATCTTTCTCCTCTACCCAGACAGCCAACTGCCCCAAGACCTCAGCAGCAACAAGTGGGACTCACCCCACAAGGTTGTGGACATCCTTGTACAACTCCGGCAGCGCTCCTGGCTGTAAAGGGGCTAACTGAGCTCCTTGCTGTTCTGTTCAGCCCAGCCTCTCTCTCTCTCTCCCCTTTTTAATAGCATTTTATCATATTCCCAGGGCAGTCTCTGGCCTCAAAGCATTTGACTACAGCTCAGTCACAACATCAGGCACAATTTTCTAAGCCACTGACCTGGACCAAGCTCTCCCTAGCGCTTGCTGCTGACTAGCTTTTCCAACAAGAGACCGTGGTTGATTATTGCTATAGCAGCAAGCCTACTAGCAAAGCAGAAAATAAATAGACTTTATCAGGGAGGTAAATGATGGAGAAAACACCATTCCCTTAGGTGGGGAGAGAAATAACATTAGCAACAGCAGAAGGACCAGCATCATATTGGAGCAGGATGGGTGGGATGGCAATTAGCTGGTTATCCCATCTCTTACCCCAGCTGGGCAGATCTTTTTAGCACTAGTTTCATTACCAGGAGCAAGTGACTCTGAAGATCACCATTCTTCTGCCCAACTCGCCCCCCCTTTCCAGCCTGCTCTGTGCTTGTTTCCCTCTCTTACTTACAAGCATCCCTAGGAAAGATGTTTTTACATGGATGCAGGAGCAGGCCAGACATGAAGTTATAAATATATTAGGCACTGCCAAGAGGATGCGCAAGAAGGATTTGAGAACATGCTGCCATTCATTGCTCTCCTAGATGCTTTTCTGACCCGAGTGGCACAGGGTCACCAGTTAGCAAGCTCAGTGGCGCCAAGCTATTTCTCTCTCTTGCACAGCCAAGGGACCACACTGCAGCTGAGCAGCCTGTATGGGGAACGGCTCACTTGCCACAGCAGCCAAGGAGAGGGCTGTGGTGAGCAGCACCTAGATGGAGAGAGTAACAAAGATTCAGGTCCCAGAATGGCAAGGGTAGCCCAAAATCATTCACCAGGAGCAAGCACACCAAGCCCTGGCATGATTTGTGAAAACTGACTGGTTACATTCATTTGTTTGGTACCCTTAAAAGAGCAGATATCACCAGTGCTCGCTGCTTGTAGCCCCCACACCAGGGCACATCTCCCACAGCGCCCCCCCAGAGGACTCACCACACGGAGCAAGAAGGGACACCAGCGGCAGCTTCCACCATGGCCCAGGGAAAGAACCCAGCACTAGATCCCAGGCTATACTCTACCACACACAGGAGAAACAATCTTCCTCCTAGCTTAACGAGCCCCTTTAATAGACAAGGACCCATTAATTTTGGCAGGTGAGACTGCAGGGCTGCAACTCAGGTGGGTTTTGAGGCTCACCAGCCATGTCTTGCTGGAGGTCACCAGCTCCCTGGGCTCTCCGGTTTGTAGTTTGCTGCCCGCTCCCCATGGGGACAGCAGCAGGATCTAATGTCCCCCCTCACCATTGCCGCCAGCCCTGAGCCACCTCAGCCCTTGCGGTTTGAAATAAATCTCGTTGCTTTTGCAGAAGAGGGTTAGCACAGGCAAAGGTGAGTCCAGCCAAATTTCTCGCTCTGTGGTCCCTCCTCACCCAAGGGGATGGCAGTGGGTTTCTTCTTCCTTCCCAGTGGACACCGAGAGCTGTCTGAAACCACCAGCAGGTTCTTGCCTGTGAAGTGATACGTAGGGCTTATGGAGAGCCTTAAGTAGCTGCCATAAGGATGAAAATGATTTGACCTTTTTTACAGGGAGAGCTGTAAGAGCAAGCAGCATTAAGAAACCCTGCACTGTTGGGATCCAGAACTTCAGGGCGTACGGGCTGATTTCAAAGTGAGCGTGCAATTCCCCTACATGCTACAGAGGGTTTTGCACACAAAGATGGCTTGCGTTCAAGGCTTTCGATTCTCTTTCAGGTCCATTTTCAGTGGAGGTGTTTATCACCATCACAATCCCCTGAGTGAACCCAAGCCCTGGGAGCATGCTGGAGCATCTGGGAATGTCTGCCAGGAAGAAGGGAATTAGAACTAAATTAGTTTCTTAATTTCTATTCTGTTTTTCTCTTTGCACTCTGTAGACTTAAGTTTGTTTGACACATTCCCAGCAGATGTATAAAGCCTGACATGAGGAGCTTATGTCAGTATAACATGTCCAATCATGAAGACCATGTAAGCTCCAGCCCTCAACCTTCCTCATGCTCAGGCTCCAAAAAATGCCTGCTCCAACAGTTTTATATGTCCAGACTCAAGTACACGTGCTGCATAGTTGCTCCTACATGAGCAATCACTGGGACTCCTTGGGCAGTAAAACATGAAGTCAAGTGGAGTAAGAAACTTGGGCCCTTCTGCCTCCAGAAGAACTTGTTCATGGTTGGTCCCGAGGAACAGATTGACCCCACAGCCAAAGAACAAGACCAGACCCGGCACTTACTTTTCTTCCTTTTTATATAAAATAGACATTTACATACATTTTTTTCTTTTGCAAAGACTTCAAGCATAACTCCTTTAAGTGAAATCTAGCCATAAATCCCACAGTGAAAAAAGCAAAGACTGCAAATTTCTGTACCACTGACATACATCCAGCTGCTGCTAAGTGTGAATTTATTTTTAAAAGATTTTTAACCCACGGGCTGTTTTCTTGTTTTGTTTTGTTTTTGTTTTTTTAAAAAAGATATGCAGAACTGATAAAAAAAAAATTAGATACAGAAATAAGAACCATATGAACAACAAGCAATGCAAACAACTCCTGCGTGAGAGGAACACGCAGCGTGACATCCACTTCAGGCAGAGATTTCTACAGTAATACAGTTGTAGAAGCCATAACTTTTACAGAGGATACCACTGGGGGTATTTTCCAGAAGAAAAAAATTTCAGCAAGTCAGTACAAACATGGCAATGAACTTTTGCACAAAGTTATCGAGATTACCTGAAGCAACTTTGCCACATTGAAACACCAGTGAATGCCAAGCGCTTTTTTTTTCCTTTTCTTTCTCTTTTTTCTTTTCTTTTTTTTTTTTTTTTTGCTGCTAGGTTTAAATGTACACAAAAGCAAAATGGTGCATTTTGAAATTGCTGCAAGAGTGAAGGCTGGGGAAAAAAAAACCTCTAAGGGCTAATTTTTTCCAAAGATTGTGCATAATTGCATATATGAAAGATAGAAAGTGAGCACTTGGTCAACTTAATCACATACAGATTGAGGAGACTTAAGCACATACCAACTGTTTCGCCGAGCTGGAGGACAAGTGGGGCAAAAGATCATACAACTATATTCTAAAATGCCTAATTATTAAAATTAGAATGTAATTATCTTCTTTCATCAAACCATATCTGGCCTGGTCTCTGTAACTGTTGAGAAGCTTTCATAGTTTTTAGCTAATTTTAGGGGTGTCCAGCCTCCCCTGCAAGTTAGGCTCTTTATTTTGCATTTTTTTGACTTTGACTTTTTCGACCCATGTGCATGCATGCACACACCCCCATCCTCGTTGAGATCTCTGGAATGACGACCATTTGCACTGCTGCATTCACTTACTGTTTGGCCAAAACAAGGTGCCTGCACATTTGTAGGAAAATCTAGTCCAAGGAGTCTATGAGAGAGAGAAAATGCATCCCCCTCCCCGCATCATTTATCCCAGGGGATGGAAAAGGAATGGAAGCAAAGAATGCTGGACTTTAAATAAGCAATAAAAAAAATCAAAATCCATCAGCTGAAAATATTATTCATGGGGAAAGGAAAAAGCAACACAATTATTATGTTTTTCATTTAGGATTAAAATGCACAGTGAATACATGAGAGCCCTGTCTAACCAGCTTTCCGTTAATTCTCCACTTTAATATTGGCGAGCACTGAGGTTTAGCCAATGCAACTTGCAGAGCGAGTGAACTCTCCCCCACCGGGCAGAGCTTCAGCCATTTATTAATTTGTATTCTCTGCTAACCATGCTCAGCGCTGGAGCTGGCAGAAAACAATGTATTTATAACTCATTATTTTAGAAGCTGTGCAATGCGCGAGGAAGAAGGCATTTCCTATGATTAATTAAGATAATATCCAGTTTATCACAAGGCAAGTTGCTCGATTTATTTTCCACAATAGCATTCCTGTTTGGTGGAGGTAACCCATTTCATATCATACTCCATTCTTCTTCTTTGCCTGCAATAAACCTTTCACAAGATTAATGTCCTGAACAAACACAGCGTTTCAGCATGGATGCCAATGAGACAGGGAGTCAGCTCAAAACTTTACAAGGTTTAACTGCTTTGGTGGCTCATGGCCTGAATCATTCTCCAAATACGCTGCCAGTCTGCGGACCATCATCCTACATGGATGAGGTATAAAGTGTTGGTTCAGGAAAGCGGGGTTCATGACTGAGCCCTCCTCCCTCCTTAACTACCATAAACCCAGCTCCAAAATGTACAGAGTTGGCCTTTCGGCATGTAAACGTTATCCAGTTCATCTGGGATTAAACACCGTGGATATGTTACCTGCCTAATTCAGGCGAGTGGGTGAACATAGGCCATGCCTTCCAACCAAACCGCCTCCCTCACCAGGAGGATGGGCTCATCTTCCTATGTTATACTGCAAGTAAGACCGTGTTGCAAAAATGGTGATCCTTCTTCAGGATCTGGGAGGGGCACCCAAAGCTGTGTTATACTTTTACATGTGCACCAGTTTTAGGAGGTCAAGATGACTTTGATCAGGGTCTAGGACAAGAACGAGACAATCATTTCTACCAGGTATCTCAGGAAAGACAAACTAAGCTTTAAGCTGAAGTTAAAAACACAAAATCAAGTCATCCCCTTCACAAAGCACTGCTATAAAAAATACAACTTCTTTTATATTTGAAAAAATATGTTTCATTGGCCACAATTTAAAGCCACACTGCTGTGGGGCTTGTAGAATATATTGTATTTATTTAATATATCTTTATGAGACAAAGTTTCTAGCTGACACACATTTTTAAATGAGATATATCTCCCCCTGCCCCTATCCCCCACCGTTCGGCTAACTGCTGGAGCACTCTGCAGATGCCTCCTCTGCTGGGTGCTTTGCACGGCACCGCTGTCGAGGGCTGCACCAAACCCCGCTCTGCCAGCCCCCAGACCCACCGCCCCAGCCAGCCTGGGCACATGGGGCTTTTGTGAAGCTGCCCCAAAGGCAGGCTCACCCTGGGGGGAGCTTTATGGTCCAGGTAGCTCTGAATACCCACGTAATGAACCATCTACAACTTTGCAACACATGGTGGGGAACCAACTGCTCTCAGAGGCCATTTAAGCTTTGGTTTCTCCATCCCATGGGACCCTGCTGGCGTGACTCCATCTCCTCCCGGCCATCCTAGCAGTGCCAGGGCTGTGCAAAGCTACTCCATGCATGGCATCCAGCAGAGCACCTGCACTGGGGACCTGCAGCTATGTCATGTCAGCAAGTCCATGGCCATAAAAGTTGTGTGAAAAGACAAGGGTTGCTGACCCAGCCCCAGGACCTCAAACCTGCCCTCAGCCCCAGAAAGCAAAGTAGGCTGTTTTGGCTGGGGGGAGAAGGGAAAATTCACCAGCAAAAGACTTGCTTATTTTGGTCCCAGTTGCTCCCTTAGGAAGCTGGTTTGAAGGGAGAGAGCCCAGAAATGTGTGTCACCACCTTCTTCTCCCGATGGCCTCTCTCTCCCACCTCTGCCCAGCTGTAGGCACTGGCTGGTCTCCTTGTCCAGTGGAGACCAGTACCTCCCAAGTCCAGCCTCATCTCGGTGGGTGAACAGCCATGGCTCTAGCAGGTCCACAAGCCCTGGCAGGGCAGACATCTGCACCAGTCTGGATTCTCTCTGAGTTAGAGTCATGTTAACAACGTCTCAGTAATTTGACCACCAGTGGCAGCTAGACACTGAGCTTTTTCAATGAAGCCGGTGAAGCCACCAGCGCACGGCTGTCCCATCACACTGAGTGAATTTGGAGCTTGCTGAGGTGCCATGGCCAGCACCAGCTAAACCCGGGTGCCACATGGGTCACTGCCACACAGGCTTTTCCTGACAGGTGTGTATCAAGGCATTGCACACCTATTCTGAACCACCCCGTACTAATAATGCCAAACCCTGGGCTGCTCTTCCGCAGGGTCTGGCCACAATCAAGCTCAAATATAACAACTTGTACAGCAGTTTCCTGCTGCAAGAGGAACAAACTGATGACCCACCCCGATGTCCAAGCCCAAAGGCAGCAGCACCAAGCAGGATCCCACTAACGCTCTCTGTGAAGGGGCACAAACCCTGGTGGAAGCAGCAGAGGTGCTGTTATTGCAGTGACAGTATGGTCCAATGTGCTTGCAGCCATTTGCTTTAGAAACATCATTAGGGGGAGTTATTCAAGGACGCCTCGGTGGTACTGCATTTTTCTAACTTCAGACAATACAAGTCACAACGCCCAGCCAGGCGGCTAGCTGGGAAGGGTACTGCCCAATTCATATAAAACAGAGAAAATATATTAATTATTTGATTATTATAAGTTAAATAAATAAAGCTCAAAAATAAAAGCCCCAATTCTGAAGAGAATTTGTTCTCCCACTTCAGTATTTAAAAATATAGATTTATGACTGACCAGCTATAGGTCATTTTCTGTATCTTTTGGGGGTGGGGGTGAGAACACTTTGACAAAGTGTTTTGTCAGTGTTATCACCATGATAAATGGACTTTGTCCCTGCACACCCATAAAAAAGCCTCCTTAGTACCTTTCCAGCCTAGAAAATCTCCCCTATCCTCTCTGTGGCTTTACTTTACCTCCTATATTGATCAGATCAGTTGTTTGGGTTTTTTTCTTACTGGGGACTGGACAGGAGGACAAGTAATCCTAGAGCTTCCCATTGCCTTTGGATGCTTCTAGTTTTGTCAGAGTAATAATAATTTGGCCTGGAGGGAGAGGGCAAAGGGTAAAGCCATATGATATTTGACAATGCTGACATCATGAACCTGAATTATTACAAAATTACTATCATCTTATGAGTAAAACATTCAGCTGAGGATTTCCCTCAAAGGATCATTTGTCCTACTTGTAGAATCATCCTTCTAGGGTGATATTCAGACACTGTTTTCCCTTTCTTTAGAATAATTTTCAAGTCACATTTAGAGCTGTGAAAGTGGCCACCATTTCCTCAGCATTAACCCCTTGAAACCTTTTTATGTGACCATTATGACCATCTTTCCTGGCTCAGAAGGACCTGGCAGCACTTGCAATGAAGCCCATCAGTGGTACTTTACGTGGACGAGGTGAGCCTGTGTCGAGTAACAGGTTTTATTTCACCTCCGCTGCAATGGGGGAGTGCTTTGTCTCCATGGTTTCTCCAGTGATAACCAAGATATTGAAGGTACGTGTCCCACCCACACTCCTGGTGTGATAAACATGGGTTCAGCCTAAACATAAAAGTTGATTAAAGGAAGGTTTTCATTCATTCTCCAGCATGTCCCACAGGAGCCGAGTGCCTCCCGTAACTTTGGTCAAACATAAGCATGCATTCAAAATTTGCCTTCCATAATTCTGAGTCCTATCAAAGTTCCTTCAGCATCACTTTGAGCAATAGGCTTCCACCATACTCTTCTCCAACGGGCATGAATTTCTTTCCATTGGTGTCTGAATGCTATGTTTGGTCTTTCTCCTGGACTTCTTGAAACCGTTTCTCCAAGCGATCCAGTTTGGCCAGATTCTCCTTCAGCAACTTGCTGTTTGGAACCAGCTGTAAGGCTTTCTCATAGTAGCCACGGGCAGTAACGTAGCTCCCCTACAAAGAAAATGAGCGACAGATCTCATTTGCATTCCCTGACATAGAAAGTGCATTCCCTGGGAATGGTAAAGACCATGATACAAAGGAAGAAGAGTTTATAAACCTTGATATTGTTAGGTAACGAGAATACTTCATTACGGAATGGATCACTGAGTGCCGTTAGCCCAAATTTGATCAAACACACATGGCAAGAAGTAGATTTACATTTTTCCAGAAAAATGTGTACCAGAAGAGTTAATTTTACACAGTGATAGGATAGCTTGAGGATATCACACAATGTGACTCCTTAAGACCCAAATCATAATGGTATGCTAAAGTATTCAAAAGGATAAGCAACCACAGGACAGGCTGTCTATTTCCATAATTTTATGCCAGTATTCTGCATTAGATATCTTTATTAAATTAATTAGGTAGAGAGGAACATTAAAAGTCGACTCACGGTGACATTTTTCTAGGGCTGGTCAACAATTGAAGCAGGAAAACTTTAGAGACAGGCAAGTTGCTCCTTGTAGCTTGTCCTCTTACAAAAATGGGATTTACATTACTGGATACATATTCCCA